ATACCTGACCACAGCAGAGGCAACAAAAACTCGGAGAGTTGAATTACTAAAGAGAATTAACCGAATCTGAGATGTCCAAAAAATGGTACGGCACGTGGAATTAGAGCAATCTACCCCCGTGGAGTAAATAAAGGGTTTGGTTTGAAATTTAAAACAAATATCCCCTGCGGAAGGAAATGCGGGTAAGTTAGCCAAGATGGAGTAAAGTCGAAATTTTGCGAGTAATGAAAAAGTAACTAGACTTTGCCTGAACAAAACGGGTGCAAAGAGCACAACTGGTGTAAGGCCAGATTATGTTGAATCACCGAAGTTAAGCAACGTCAAGTCTGGTCAGTACCTAGATGGGTAAAGAACTTGGGTATACTTGGCACTGTAAGCTTAGATGTACTAGAGAGAGAGTGAGTGAGTGAGTGAGTGAGTGAGTGAGTGAGTGAGATAGAGAGAAGGAGAGACAGAAGAAATAGACAGACAGAGACAAAAAGAATAAAATTAAAGAACTTTTCAATGTTAATGATGGCCTCAAGCTAAATACAGATAATTCTTGCAAGCTCTTTGAAAAAGTATCTTCCAGGGGCACAAAAAAGAAACCTTATGTTAAAGAATATACGCTTTCAAAACAATGCTCGTTCATATTCTGCAAAGCTGACAATTGCTCATGTTGGAAAAAAAAAAGATTTCAAACATACCACATTAATGGAATAACTCCAGTCTCTCAAAAATATTAATCCAATAGAAAACTTGTAGCTTGTCATTAAAAAGTGATGTATACGAGACTGGAAAACGACATTTAAACAAAGGAAGCCATAAAAACTGCCGCAACTGATGTTAATGTTGAAACATTGGAGAAGTTAACAAAAACAATACATGAAAGATTTATGAGAGTCATAAAATACCACGGAGCGCATATTTAGCATGTAACTAATAAAATAATCGTTTATTCCAGTATACGGAATATTGCATCTATCAAATATATCTTTCTATGTCTTTATATATCTTTGGGAATTTGTATAGAAATAAAAATGTATGTTGCACTTAGATCGTTGGCAGAATAAAACCTTACACGTCTAAAAAATTATTAAAAATATTTGCAATAACGATGGCTGCTCTATGTACAAATTCACTCTCAATATTGCTCGTCTACATATCAATATATCTTAGACAATTTTAACGCGGAGAAATTGATTTTCAGAATAAAAGCTGATATAGGGATTGGGCGCTTATTAATTTTAGGAGATAGATAGATAGATAGATAGATAGATACACACACACACACATATATATATATATATATATATATATGTGTGTGTGTGTGTGTGTGTGTGTGTGTGTGACAGAACACCTTATAAATCGCCATAATTGTGCTGTTAGTTTTAGTGCGGACGCTTTTACCATCCTTAGCAAGTCCCACTCAAATTACCACCTGAAAGTGTTGGAAGCCATCTATATTCTATCTTTAAAGCCTTCTCTTTGTAAACAGAAGGACTTTATTTTAGGCCTCCAACTAATTACCATTTAATTTTTTCCCCACCAATAAACTTCATCCATTGTTCTTTTTATTATTGTTATATAATTTACTTTATTTACCTCGATTTAATTCTGTTGAGCGAGGTACGAAACCAGTTAGATGGCCCGTTTTTTTATTTTTACTTTTTATTATCATGAGGGGTAATAATAAAATGAATTTTTTCTTTTCATGGCAGTGAAATATTAAATATATATATATATATATATATATATATATATATATATATATATATATATATAGATAGATAGATAGATAGATAGATATAGATATAGATATAGATAGATATAAATAGGTATTGATATATCAAGAGAGAGAGAGAGAGAGAGAGAGAGAGAAAATAGACCGAAAGATATGTATATAGTTAAGTCTGTCTATCCATTGATAGATACAAAAATAGATATGTCTAAGATAGATAGATAGACAGATGTAAACAGACCGACAGAAACGGACATAATTAGAACGATCGATAGACAGATATATCGATGAGAACAGATATAGATAGATAGATAGATAGATTGATAGATAGATAGATAGATAGATAGATAGATAGATAGATAGATAAGGAGAGATTGTGATAGATAGATAGATAGATAGATAGATAGATAGATAGATAGATAGATAGATAAAATGTATTAAATGCCTAATAGATAGATAGATAGATAGATAGATAGATAGATAGATAGATAGACTTAGATAGATAGATAGATAGATAGATAGATAGATAGATAGATAGATAGATAGATATGAAGAAGCTTATATAAATAAACATTAAGGGATTTAGAAATATAGACAGATATGAAGATGGGCAGGCAGTGAGACAGACATACGGATAAGATAGATAGATAGATAGATAGGTAGATAGATAGATGTGAACAGACTGAATGTGTTATTATTGAAATTATTGAAATATATAAACAGATTGCGAGAGTTATATACAATCAGCCTGAGATAGATAGACAGATAGAAACAGACAAGAATATAGATAGCTAGAACGATCAATAGATATATAAATATAAGCAGTCATATATATATATATATATATATATATATATATAGAGAGAGAGAGAGAGATAATGATAGATTGATAGAAAGAAAGAAAGAAAGAAACAGGCCGATAGGCGGACATGCACGTAGATTGCTAGATCGATCGATAGGTATATAGATATGAAGTGTATACACTAAATACACCCACTTACTGTATTCGTTAAAACGATTTTTTTCCCTTCCTTCAAACCTATTTTTGAAATCATTGTTCTTTGGATGTTTTCATTCATTTTGAAATTTACTCAGTACATTCAAATGCTGGATTCATTATCTTGCAACAGATTTTCACCTGTCCCCTTTTTAAGAGATCACGTGACTCGTAGAACAAAAACAAAATGTCTGTTAACAAAACACGTTTAAACTTCAAATGTTGAATTGGAAATTTTCATTCGTCTTCTTTTTGTCGTTTCTTCAATTCCTTTCTCTTTTCTGTCTTTTTTTTTTTTTCTTCCTTTCTTTTTTTTTTAACTCTCTTTCTTTTTATCTTGTCTCACTCAATCTCTCTCTGGCTTTCATTTTCCCGCTCATTTTCTTTTTTTTGTCCCTATCCCATTTTCGCACGATGTTTATTATATCTCTTTTCTTTTGGAGATTTTATTTATTTTCAATCCACCACTTTTCTTGCCGAAGTCCGTTCAAGATATTTACGAAGCCTGTTGCTGCACAAACACAAGTGGAGAACGCCTGTCTACCTTGACAATCAGCATTCAGAAAACTCACATATTGTCCTGAGTTGAACGCCGGCCTTTAAAGTCGAGGAGAAATCCCTAATGATCCCAGCCACCGCCCATTTGCAAAAATTAGTATTAAAAAACAAGAAAGACAAATAAACATTGATCGTATCTTGCTTACGACAAAACATCTAAGGGAGTGGGAAACAAGAAAAGAACAATTGGATTACGCTAATCTTCTCAGTCAGTAAAAAAAAACCATTGTAATATTTCGGTTTTTGGTAATACTTCACATAAGCGGCGTAAAATAAGTTGTCATTTTACATGTAAATATTTTTTCTGAGTCTAGTGGTACCCATTTTAGTAACATTTCATTTCAGCAATACCTCATTTTAATAATTTCGCATTTCAGTAATACTCTATTTTCAGTAATACCTCATTTCAGTAATATCTATCTCCAGAAATTACCCATTTCATCAATACTTCATTTCAGTAACAACTCATTGGAGTAAGCTTACATTTCAGTATTACCTCATTTCATTAATACCTTTTTTCAGTAATACCTCACTTCAGCAAAATCTGACTCCAGAAATACTCCATTTCGTTAATACTTAATTTCAGTAATACTTCATTTCAGTCATACTTCATTTCAGTAATACCTCATTGCAATAATTTCGTATTTCAGTAATGCCTCACCACAGTAATGCCCTATTATCGCTAATATCTCATTTCAGTAATACTTCAATTCATCTCTTAAAAATTATTAAATTCAACGATAGATTTTCTTGCGATAAGTAGTCTTACTAAATATGATCGCTTTTTGTTTTCCAGCGGTCAGAAAATGCAGGTAAGTTAGCTAAGATGGGGTAAAGTCGAAATTTGGGGAGTAATGAAAAGGTATCTTGAGTTTGCCTGAACGAATCGGGTGTAAATTGCGCAACGGGCTTAGGGTCGGTTCACGTTGATGGTCAGAAAATGCAGGTAAGTTAGCTAAGATGGGGTAAAGTCGCTAATTTGGGGAGTAATGAAAAGGTATCTTGAGTTTGCCTGAACGAATCGGGTGTAAAATGCGCAACGGGCTTAGGGTCGGTTCACGTTGATGGTCAGAAAATGCAGGTAAGTTAGCTAAGATGGTGTAAAGTCGAAATTTGGGGAGTAATGAAAAGGTATCTTGAGTTTGCCTGAACGAATCGGGGTAAATGCGCAACGGGCTTAGGGTCGGTTCATGTTGATGGTCAGAAAATGCAGGTAAGTTAGCTAAGATGTGGAAAGTCGAAATTTGGGGAGTAATGAAAAGGTTTCTTGAGTTTGCCTGAACGAATCAGGTGTAAAATGCGCAACGGGCTTTTGGGTCGGTTCACGTTGATGGTCAGAAAATGCAGGTAAGTTAGCTAAGATGGTAAAAGTCGAAATTTGGGGAGTAATGAAAAGGTATCTTGAGTTTGCCTGACGAATCAGGTGTAAAATGCGCAACGGGCTTAGGGTCGGTTCACGTTGATGGTCAGAAAATGCAGGTAAGTTAGCTAAGATGGGGTAAAGTCTAAATTTGGGGAGTAATGAAAAGGTATCTTGAGTTTGCCTGAATGAATCGGGTGTAAAATGCGCAACGGGCTTAGGGTCGGTTCACGTTGATGGTCAGAAAATGCAGGTAAGTTAGCTAAGATGGTGTAAAGTCGAAATTTGGGAGTAATGAAAAGGTATCTTGCTTTTGTCTGAACGAATCGGGTCTAAAATGCGCAACGGGCTTAAGGCCGGTTCACGTTGAAACACCGGTTCTCGTGCGATCACCGAAGTTAAGTAACGTCTAGCCTGGTGAGTACCTAGATGGGTGAGCGCTTGGGGAATACCCAGGAGCTGTAAGCGTGGATGTGCGCTTCGTGTAATGTATCGTCGTCATCTTCTTCGTCATCATCAACATCACTATCATCATCCTTTTGACTTTTGTAACCATAGGGCGGATCCAAATGCAGAAGCCCCACTAACTCTGTTCCACAACGGTCTATCTTGGAGAGGAGATGGATGCCGTCAAGTTATCTACAAGCCCTCCGAAAAGATTATGTATAACAGTACGGAATTGAAAATCAGGGAGCTGGAGTTGTAGAATCCTCGGCAGTGAGTTCAGTCCTCATTGCCTGCCCCATAATCATGGTCTTGCGGTTAGTAAATAACAAGTCTGTCCTTATTTACATCTGGCCTATGCTATGTTATGGCCATTCTGCACACAAAATGAGAGGGATAGTAACATAGACAAATATTTATAACAACTAAAAACCATAGGAAGTTATAGAAAGCCATGATCGTTCAAATTCTCAAGCCACACGCCACATAGAAGAAGCTCACAAGCACATATTTAAGTGGAGCCGTACACAAGCACAAGTGCGTGTTCAATGCAAATAAGACAACAGCATTGTAACAATTGGCCGTTGGCCACATCTCACTGCGATATGTAGCAATCACCAATAACAAAGGAACTGATATAGACCCGTTTAGCCGCCATTAATAGCTTTTCCAATGCTATAAGTGACACATTGAAGCTTCTATTAGGTACGAAATTACACAAGTGACTTCCGAGGCAAATTTTACACCTCATTTCAAACAATGGATATTTACATAGAAATTTATGCACCTGGCATCGGCAGTTGATAGCTAAAAAGTGAACACTTCCCATTGAAAGAAAAAATTATCGACATTAATGTCGATTGAGTTGCTAACGACCAGAACAGAGACGGGGGCGCCTGTTAGCGAGCTAGTATGGTTGAACGTTAGTAGTGAGTTCGTTTCTCACTTAGTACCCATACTTGTAACCTTGTCTTAAACTAAGCTTATCTTAATAAATAAAGATGTTTCGGTGTGGGCTTAACGAGCTAGCCTGGTTAATAATTGCGGCCAAAACGATGCTTTTTCTTCGTCTTCCATTGACCATGTACCTTCCGGACGTGAGCGATCAGGGTCCTCCACGACTTCCATTCCTTTGCAGCTCAGTAAATTTTATCACTTTTTGCTCTCTTAATCTCTATTCTGCCAGCCATGTACACAAGCTCATTAGGTATGTTATACACTGTTTTCCTCTGTCCAACTTGACTTCAATATGCCCTGTGAGTATCAAATTCTCTAAGCCATCTTTCTTCATTATGTGCCTTAGAAATTTTAATTGTCTCTTTCTGATGCTGAATATAAGTGTCATTTTTACTCACATTCTCTTTAAAACTTCATCATTGCCCGCATGTTCAGTCCATGGTATTCTCCCGTCCTGGGTATGACGATAAACTATATCCGCGTCCATGGTAAGACTGTAAACTACGTCCAACAGCAAGGCGGAGGTTTTGAGCAGCGTGGAACCACCTCTTAATTGCTGGTGCTCCCAGGTATCCCCTGACCCGGGGTGGTAGCACCTGTTAGGGTCCCAGCTATGGGCAAATAGGTGACCCCGAAACTGAGGTAAAAAGCATTATAAAAGTGTAAAAATAGGTTTTAATACCAGAAATACTTTGTAAAAATTATTACCAGAAATAAATTTTTGAAGAAAAAAATATTACCTGCAATATATTTTCGAAAAAAAAATATTACCAGCAATACGTTTTTGAAAAAAAAAATATTACCAGCTATACATTTTTCAGGAAAAAAAATATTACCAGAAATAGATTTTTGACAAAACAAAATATTACCAGGAAAAAAAGTTGTCAGCATTATATAACCCATTCAGGTTGATATGCCATAAAACAAAATAAACCAAGACAAACAAACCAAAGGAAAATAAAACGATCCAAGATTGTAAATTTCCTAAAAGAAGTTGGATTGTACTCAAAAATATAAGTAATTGAAAAATAGTTCAAATATATATGTATACATCACACCTTTTATTACCAAACTATCGCTATGAATCTATTTCAAAATTTTGTTGGCATTAAATGACCCACTGAGGTTTTGATATGCCATAAAACAAGACAACCAAACAACCAACCATGGTATTCTGCAAACGAAGCTAAATTCATCAAATAAGGGTAGCGTAATAACAGGTTAGTCTATTTGTCAATTACTACTGAACAGTGAGTTGGATTTTTACTGTGTGCGCCACACTTATGGTCTGGTGCCAAAAGAAACAAAACTTAGTAAATAAAGGTGCCTCGGAGTTGGTTAATATTTAGCAAGCTAGTCTTGTTGATCAAAACTAGCGAGCAGTGTTCGATTCTCCGTCGGCGCCTCATACATGTGGTCGTATTTCATTGCCTGTTTTTAAGTGGTTATTTTTTTTTTTAGCTTTGCTCATTGAAATAGACCCGACCCCACTTTATATTTCATGTGCTTTACCTTCCACTTTAAGTTATTTACAATCGCAACCATAGTCTTACGTTACAATTTGGGATAGCTGTTGAAATTTGAACCCACGATTCAGTAGTAACGATTTGCCAGACGAGCTCGTTATCCATTACCTCATCAAAAGACATCCGTCATACTGAGATTATATTAGTCTTACTTATGCAAGGCCACAATTTGTTAACAGTAAAAAATGAATCTAATAACATACGACAGTAAATAACAATAATAAATACAACAGTATTTTGCTTAGAATAATTGGTACTAGCGTAGTGACAATAGTCCTCTACGAAAGAGTTCTCCCAAGGGAGATAATAAAAAAACAAGGGAGATTACTCCCGATTACTTTATCACGATGAATTGTACTAGATTTTAAAAATAATATTTACTCTATACAAGTGACAATAGTCCTCTACGAAAGAGTTCTCCCAAGGGAGATAATAAAAAAGGGGAGATTACTCCCGATTACTTTATCACAAGGAATTGTACAAGATTTAAAAAATAATATTTACTCTATACAAGGTCTAACGCACCTTCACCGAAAGTTGAACGGGCTAAACTAAACCTCTGACTCTGCATACAATATCGCATTCGATCCAAAATGCAGAAATATCTTCCAACAAAAAGAAAAGGCCACAATAACCTTTGCATGCCGAATGGAACTCATCGTTAAAGAAGCAGAGATATCTTTATCTCGAATCCATAATACAATCATACCAAATATCTTGGACCATAGGAAAAAAGAAATCGACCACCAACGCGAACGATCCTTTCCTTTAGCTGGCATAATATGTGCTTCGCCGGGGCTACATACGTAAATTCAGAGTTTCCTTTCTCCTATGGTCCATGTTTTAATGGATGTCAGTTGTCAGTCCCCTCTCTGCCGCCTTAACCAGGTATTGAACTCACACGCTTTGGGTTCTGTCACAGGATCTAACCAACGTCTTTATCTACTGTACTTTGAGTTCTTGAGGACGTCTGTGTATGAATTTCTGGGTATTATAAACCTGATGTCTTTAGCAAACCATTTTTACCAGTGCACATATTTCAATTTTTGCTGTTATCATTCCATGTTTTACCATAGGTCATATAGCAATGTTTGTTGTTATTATCGCTTTTCTCTGGCACTCCTTGGAGAGAGGAATTAACAGGAGATAACTGATAACGGACATCCATTAAACATGACACGTGGAACTAGAACAGTCTACCCCAGTGAGCGAAATAAAGTGTTCAGTTCGACATTCCAACCACGTGAAGAAGACCGGAGCGTACACTGGCCGAAACGCTGTAATAAATATGATGACAAAGATGAGGACAATAGTCCGAATAATGTAAATAAAACTATTTTCTTTGCAATAAAACATCGACATGTTTTATTTTAATTACTTGGTAATAGTAAAGTTACAATATTGACATTTTTGGTGTGTAGAAAATAGAAGACAAATTTTAAATAATTGTAGAAAAAAATGTAACATACGAGAAATTTACCTGAAGGTTTGATGTTTCATTTCCCTGGCACAAAAATTATTAAAAAAAAAATATTCGGAGAGCTCCAACAAAGCATTTTTTTCTAATTTTAATTACTGTGACTCACCACAGGAGTCCACGTGAAACATATGATCATTATCTGCCAAAAGGTAAAGTTATGTGCATGGTTAATAGTCTTTGATTTACTGAGTGAAGAAAAGAAGAATTTTTTGTCAATTTACCAATAACTATATAATTATAACTAACAGCATTTGTAACATTATAATTAGGATATAGCAGAGACTCTTTATTAATCCTCTGCAAATCGCTGTTTATTACGACCTCATAATCACTTCCAGATATTAAATTCCTTCAATTGTTGCATTTCATTTTCTTCAAAACTACATAGCAACAACAACCTGCTACGTACAATATACCAGGAACTTTCTTTGCATTCATTAACATCCTCATCTGTTAAAACTATGGTAGATTTATATTTATAAATTTAACATAGTTACAATCGTAGTTAGGAGGATGTCTTAGTCTAAATTGTGTTTCCCTGTCACTTCATCCCAGTTAGTTTGAAAATTCTTCAAATTAATATTTTGGTCTTTAAGTATCAGGATCAATTTTAAAACTGACATAATTCTGATTTTTTTTCCACCTTCAGAAGACACTTGACGTATTGATGGTCACCAAGTTGCCAGTACTGGCCAAATATATCCTCAAGGTGATCTGTTTGAAATTTACTAGCTAATAATACATATATCATTTTCAATTCTTCTGCGAAATATTTGATCAGTTCGAGAATTACATGAGTAGTATGGTGCAGAAATGTGAAGAATGCATTTGTTCAGCTTTCCATTATTTCCAGGAATGCTATTCCAAGATTCTAACCCAGTTGCAAAATACATTGAGAATTATATATTTGTCTTCATTTACATGAAATGGATTAGCATATTTATTGTTAAGCCGCCAACTTTTATCTGGTGTTTTTACATCCAATATTGACAACCAAGTATAAAATATGTTTATGTATTCTGCAACTTCTGCAAAGTTAGGCAAACATTTCTGTTTTC